CGCCCGAGGCACGCGGCGGGCGGGGCTCGGGCGGAGGCAGCCGGAAGCGGCGGGCGCGGAGGTGGGTCAGGGGCAGCGCGGGTGTGGGGGGGCGGTAGCGGCTCTGCCCCCTTCCCTCAGCGGCTGGGGGTCCGCTGCCGCCGGGCTCCCCCTGCCTCGCCCGGTCCCTCCAGGGGGGCTGCTCCGATTCGCCCCTCGGCCTGGTCGTCGCGGCCCGGGCGGCGGCCGGTGTGCTACAGTTGGGAGGGGGCCGTGGCCTGGTGCGGCCTGCCGGCTGTGGGGCCGGCCTGAGGGAGCGGCGGGGCCGGGGTTACGGGTGTGAGGGGAAGTGCCGCTGAGGGAGCGGCTCTAAAGACCAGATGGGGTGTCTCCTGCTCCTAGGGATTTCCGTCGCCCAGAGGTGGGCTGTAGGTACTGAAGTTGCAGGACTGCAGCAAACACAGCGATTTACTTATTTATTTCAGTTCCACAAATGGCAGTATTTCCTTTCCTTGGCTTCTTGGATTTGGTGTGTCCTTGTTAAAAAGACTGGCTCTATCTGTTGAGTAGTAGTTTCCTTTAGAAATCTCTGTTAAGGTGTTTGGCAGTAGAATCCCATTTTGGTTGTGTCAACAAGTGATGGAGAAATTTAGAAGCGTTGGTCAAACTGAGGGTGCAGGAGTACCAGAAGATTGCCTCTCTTAGCAAGTACTAGTAACTGTGCAGCATGAGTTTAGATACTTTCACATTGTCTATTTTAAACAGAAGTTTGGTACTCAACTAGAACTTTGACCTTTACAGACTGCTTTTTTAGCTTCAGCACAGCTGAATGCTGTAGTGGCCATGAATTTACTTTGTTTAGATATTTGCCTTAATGCTTCATTTTCTTGCAGAATTTTTCTCTTCTGAGCACACAATCAGGGTAGGAATTCAGTACTTCGGTTTATATAAATAATTCTCTTTTTTTGTTTGTTTGTTTTGGTAACTATTTTCTGACAGCTATGAAATTTCTGTTGGTTTTTGATTTTGACCATACAATCGTAGATGAAAATAGTGATACCTGGATTGTGAAATGTGCTCCCGAGAAAAAACTTCCTAATGGATTAAGAAACTCCTACCAACCGGGACATTGGACAGAATATATGGGCAGAGTCTTTGCCTACTTGGGAGACAATGGCGTCAAAGAAGATGAGATGAAACGGACTATGACAACAATTCCTTTCACTGCAGGAATGGTAGATCTGCTGGGGTTTATTGGCGAGAACAAAGATTTGTTTGACTGCATAATTGTTTCAGATTCTAATACAGTATTTATTGACTGGATTTTGAAAGCTGCTGACTTCCATAAAGTGTTTGATGAAGTGTTTACAAACCCTGCGGTGTTCAGCAGTACTGGCTATCTTACTGTACAGAACTTCCATGCTCACCATTGTGCAAAGTGCCCTAAAAACCTTTGCAAAAGGAAAGTTTTAAAAGAATTTCTAGATAAGCAGTTGGAGCAAGGAGTAAGTTATACCCAAACTGTATATATAGGTGATGGTGGGAATGACTTATGTCCAGTGATGTTTTTGAAGAAGGATGACATTGCTATGCCCAGGCAGGGGTATACCTTGGAGAAAAAAATTTCTCAGCTCGCCCAAGATCTCAGTCCTGTAGAGTGTTCTGTTCTGGTTTGGTCATCTGCTACTGACATTATGTCTTATCTGAAATTACTTATGAAGGAATAATTTGAATGCTAAGAGAAAACTAAAATAGTTATATTTTATCTTCTTGGGAGAGAAAAACTGCATGTGTATAAAAGCACAAAATTGTAAAATTGGGCTGTTATCTGAACTCTTGATTCTAAACACAATACAAAACTGTTTATGTTCAGTCTTGGGAAAGTGAAGTTAAAATGGCTTTACAACATAGTACACATTCCAACATAAGTGGAGAAGGGGAGTTGCAAGAGAAATTGCCATTATTCTTAGTCTTCCCCCTCCACCCCCCAAGCCTTTACTGACTACATAACTGACCTTTTCTGTTCCACATGCTTAGGGGAAGGAGTAGGATTACTGCATAAAAGAATGAAATTCTTTACTTAGAAAACATTAGGTGCCAGGAGCATGGGTCTGGAACTGTTGGCTTTTATACTACTTTGATCAGGATAAATGTTTAATTTTGTAAATTATTTGGTATGCTTATAATCTTGTTTGATCTGAAGGTGCATTTATATTTTCAATATACTAAATATTTTACCAAACCAAATTACTTTTAAATAGTTTATATTATCTTGTATTGTAAAACCAATAAAAATTACTGTCCCTGACAAAAGCAACACATCTAATTTGTGTAATGTATTCTGCTGGTCTGTGTCACCTGTTCCTGTGAGGGCCTGGAGGGAGTGAACACGAGTTTGGGTGTCAGCCTTCGGCTAACATCTTCATTTAGTCAGTCAGACCCCTTCTCTTCTGGAGAGTAGTAAGGGTGTTCATCTGTTTAATGAAAACTCACTCTCCCGTTCTCCTGTCACCCTGACAGCGTGCTGCTGCCACTCCATCTGGAACTAACGCTGGGTTGATCTTCCATGCTGACGGCTCTGAGTCAGCCAAGTGCTTTTTTCTTGCTGAGTTTCTGCTGCAATGCACAGCCCACAGAATCATGTATATCTATACAGGTTTACACTCATTTTACCTATCTGCTCTAGTCCATATCTGTAGTATAATCCTCTCTTACAAGCTGGAAGGGAACACAGAACTATTCTGTCTTAAAATAGCTCAAGGAATCACTTGTGAACATGCAGTCTTTCTCTTCAGTGCTCACAGTGAGATGAGCCCCAAGAGCTGGCCTATGCATATAGAGGTATTAAAAATAAGTCTCATTAAAGTTAAATAATGTATTTTCATGCCAAATGTTTTCCTTCTTACAGTCTTGCAAAATGTCCAAAATGATGATGTAGTCTGTTATTGAACTGATGGCTGGTTTAGCTTAAGTGCCTTTAATAACTGAGAAATTGGTTCAACTTTTGCAGCACTTGGGTGGCAGATGTCTGAGGTGCAGCGCAGCAGCCTACGGTTGCTGTAGCTCTTCCTCTGTTTTCTGTGCTGCACCGTTCTCATTTTCTTGCTGATATTTGATGTTGTCACTACCTTCTTTTTCTCAGTTGAAGATTTTTAGGAGTGGTCTTGCCTGGTTTCAGGCTGATAGTGTATATAAATTAAGAAATCCTTTGGTTACTTCCTTGTAAATTTGTGTGAGAGCACAAAGACGGCATCTGAAGAACTGGTGGGTCTCAAGTTGTGGCAGGTTTAAGTTGTCTCATTCACAGGTCATACAAAAGCAGTAATGGCTCTTGCATGGTACAATTTTGTATGGTTACTTTTTTTTTTTTAAAGTTGTGTGTTTCCTTCATTCTAGATGTGCTGCTTAATGTTCCAGGTTCTGTGCTGGTCTCTTCTGTGCTTTTCGGAACTTCCAGTTTGTCCAGAGATCTTAGTTATTGCTTCTTTAAAAACAAGCAAAAAAATTAGTATAAGAATAATTATTCAGCTTTTTCTTCTACTAAATATTGTCCTTTTAGCCTTGGGGAATATACCCTGTAGTTTGCTTTGAGAGTGAGAAATTGAGTGAGAAATTAATCTTCATGCTCAAAAAGTTTGGGTTTTTTTTTTGTGGTTTTGAAAGTACTGAAGCAGGAGTTGAGAGTAGATTAAGCAAAGTAGAATACTTGAAATATTAGCAGTTATGATGGAATCACTTCAAGTAGAGGGTAGAGCTGATGCTATTTAATAGGCAAGTGCATGTTGGAGACAGAAGAGATTTTTCATTTCGGGTAAGTAGGCCATTAAGCTATTAGTATGAGGTCTTGGGTTTCTTTTTTCCTCTTAATAAAAGAGAAGACAGAACTTTTTCTGAAGCACCACAATTACCAATTTTTTCCGCATTTGGGTATAAGGGAGGGGAGACGAGTGTCTCCTAAGGGTGAAGGTGGTTTAAGCTGATAACCTAGCTAAAAGAGAAAGGGAGAAGCTCCTTGAAGGGACACATGTTCAGCACTTGGTGTTGCTGTTGGTTTACTTCAATGTGTTCTCTGGGGGGAGATGACTTAGGAAAAGATGTTATGAAAATAAATGAGTAATGGAAGGTGTATGTGTGCACAGGAAATTTTCTATATGGTATTAGGTCTGCTACCATACAGCAGCTACTAGGAAGAGTACTTAGTATTACATGGTAGTAGGATGGCTAAGACCTAGCAGAAGTTCCTGCTTGTCCGTGGGAAGCTGCTGAAATGGAAAGTGCAAAACCACAGCCAAAGAAAGCTGTTGGCATGGGGATGTAGAAACAGACTCAGGGCTCTGCAAGGGAATGCTCCAGAGAAAGAGATGGAGTGAGTAATGTAGCTGAGGGACGCAGGGCTGCTGCTAATTCCTGGGTTACATCACAAAATTCCCATTCCCTGGGCTAAAAATGCATCAAGTGGTTGAAAAACTGAAGGCAAAGATGGGAGAAGGTTTTGTTTGTTTGTGTCAATCAGCTTATTTACATCTTATGTTCTGACCTAAAGACCAAGGGCAAGTTTGAGCCCTGTTGCCGGGTTAGCACGTGAGGAAGGGTGGCAGAAGGGTATCCTTCCAGTTCAGATTCCTTCTGTAGTTCGTGCTAAGGAATCTGTGTAGAGCAGGAGTTCTCCTTGTGGGTATTGCTGGCACCTAGCTCATCATAAATACCCACCTCCTTTTGGTGGGAGGAACTGCTGCCACTCCTTCCAAACCAGGAGAGCTCTGGCAGAGCCTGGCACTAGATCCAAAGGATCCAAACCCTGCAGCAGGTGAAGGAGGGAGCATGGCTGCTTAAACCCAGAGGATGCTTCAAATACTTTTAAAGGTCTCCGTTGCAGAAGATGTTTTGCTAGCAGAGAAGAAAAGGACTTGTTAAATTGTGAGCGACATTTTCAGAAGTGGCAAAAGCCAACATGACCTTCTCCTTGAATTGTTTGCTTGTGGTTGGAGTATATTTGTCGGCATAGTTTGTGACTGTCCTTTGTGCCCTGCCAGGTGCAGGTGTTTTGAGGCGAGCTGCGGCCGCCCCCTCTCAAATCCCATTCCGTGATGGGAGAGCCCTTCCCGGCATCGCTCCTCTCAGCGGCCGGGAGAGCGGGACGGCCCCGGGGGAGCGGGACGGCCCCGGGAGAGGCGGCTTCGGGTGGCTGTTAGTGGCAGTGGAAAGCGCCCTCGCTTTGTTGTGCGGCGGAGCCACCAAGCCGGTGAGGCTGCCCCAGGCATCTGCTCCTGTCCCTAACGCGGCCCGGAGCGGCTGGGCCTTCTGTCACCCTCGCGGCCTTTCATAGCCCCCGGGCGGAGGGGGCCGGGCCGGGGGCCGCGGGGGAGGGCAGCGGGCGGCCGGGGCACCAAAATAGGAGCCGCCGCTCCGGCCCCGCCGCCTCCCGCGGGCAGCGGCTCTTCCAAAGATGGTGACGGGCCCGCAGCGCTCCGCCAGGGCGTAAGTACCGCGGCGGGGAGGCCCGGTAGGCGGCGGGGCTTGGCGGAGCGGCTCCCCCGGGCCGCGGGCGGGGCGCGGACAAAGCCGCGGGGAGCCCGGGGCGGTGCGGTGCCGTGGCGGCGGTGCGGTGCCGTGCGGTGCCGTGGCGGCGATGGCAGCGTCCGGGCAGGAGGAGTACGCGTACCTCTACCGGGACTCCGCTCACCCCGCCGCCTTCCTGGAGGCATTCCGGGGCTTCTACCTGGACGGGCTGTTCACCGACATCAGCCTGCAGTGCGCCTCGGGGGTCATCTTCCACTGCCACAGAGCCGCCTTAGCGGCGTGCAGCAATTATTTCAAAGCCATGTTCACGGCCGATATGAAAGAGAAATCTAAAAACCAGATCAGGCTTCCCGGGCTCAGCCATGCCGTCCTGGAAGCCCTAGTGAATTATGCATACACATCACAGATCCAGATAACAAAGAGAAACGTCCAAAGCCTGCTCCAGGCTGCAGACCTCCTCCAGTTCGTGTCAGTGAAGAAAGCCTGTGAGCAGTTTCTGGTGAGGCACTTAGACACTGACAACTGCATAGGGATGCACTCCTTCGCCGAATACCACGATTGCTCGGAGCTAGAAAAGGAGTCCAGGAGGATATTGTTATGGCAGTTTGATGAAGTGTGGAAGCAGGAAGAGTTTCTGGACATTGGGAAGGAAAAGCTCTCCTTTATTCTCTCCAGAGAGAATCTCAATGTTTGGAAAGAAGAGGCAGTCATTGAAGCTGTTGTTAAGTGGGTTGCACACAACGTGGAAGAAAGAATTGAAGATGTTTGTGAACTGCTGAGCTGCATCAAAGTGGACTTAGATAACATGTATTTGAGATCAGCTTTAAGCCTACAAAAAAAATGCCGGCTTAATGACAGTAAGATAAGGTCACTTATATACAATGCCCTGAACCCCAATCCTAAGGGTCTTTCCAGAAGAGCCACAGCAGCCATGTATGTGATTGGAGGATATTATTGGCATCCCTTATCAGAAGTGCATGTTTGGGATCCTTTAACCAACGCGTGGGTCCAGGGAACAGAGATGCCGGATCACACCAGGGAGAGCTATGGGGTCACTAGCTTGGGACCAGACATATATGTGACAGGAGGTTATAGAACAGAGAGCATCGAAGCCCTTGACACGGTGTGGATCTATAACAGCGAGAGAGATGAGTGGACAGAGGGCTGTCCCATGCTTGACGCGAGGTATTACCACTGCGCGGTTTCCTTGAGTGGCTGCATCTACGCCTTGGGTGGTTACCGAAAAGGAGCTCCTGTGCAAGAAGCAGAGTTCTATGATCCTCTAAAAAAGAAATGGCTTCCTATTGCAAACATGATCAAAGGTAGGTAAGCTTCTTTTGGTATGGCGTCTGCCTCTAATGTTGATCCTTTTGCATTTGCCACTTTTAAGTGCCATGGACACATTTAGGGTTTGATCCAAGTTCTGGTGAAGTCCATGGGAATCTCCCGTTAAAGTTGGTGGGCTCTGGTTCAGGTCTTTACTAGCCACATGAGTGCAAGCATCCAAATGCTATGCTGGGCTGTGCCACGGAAGACTATGGTGGAAAAGCAAGTTTCTCAGTTTAATTTTGCCTTCTTTCAGGAGTAAAGAAATCAGAAAGCTGCCTGGGATTAGAGTCCGTTCAGGTCAAAGAGCAAGCTCCAATAAAGGGACTGTACTATTTTAACATAAGACCAGATAAACAAGATTTTCTATACAATCATTTGTAAAGGTGTCATCTTCATTAAAACTTCTTGCATGCAGTTACCTCGTATTTCAGTGTAACATCTGTTCAGGATCCTTAGTTTAATCTTTGGTGTGATGATAACGGAAGGCACTAATACCTGTTTCTTGCAGCCAAAATAGCGATCTATTAAAAATGTATGAATTTGGATCACAGCCTAACTAAAGGCTATAATTTTGTTTTAAAATTTATAAATAATTATACATTTTATCATACCTTTTTATAAACTAATACAATTATAAAATTTTACTCTAAGGTAATGCAACATAGTATTTGTCTGCATATGTGAGAGTTTTTGGAGGTATCTGTAGCAGGAAAGAACACTTACTATGCTCCTACAACTTTCTTCATTGTTTGTATCTTTTTCACAAACATTTTTAACTATTTTACTATTATTCTCTTTTTATTTCTTTTAAAAAGAGAAATGCTACACTACTACTGTAAACAGTTGCACATTCTGTGCTGTTGATTTGTCCTGATTTCTGTATGAAACTTCTTAAATGCTTAAAAATACCCCACTGATTTTGGTCCGTTTTGTCTTGCCAGATCCCTTGTTTTGTTTTGTTTTGTTCTCCTAGAGACAGAGTTAACATGGCTCCATTCTGTTTGTGTCCTTGTTTATACAATAGCATAATTAATAATACCGTGAGAAAGACCAAAAGTATCAGAAGAGATACCCCGAGACACTGAATAATCTCAACTCCCATTGTCCTTGTCTTTGCGATATGAGTGACTTTTAAAAAATTTCTTTGCTTTAGGGAAATACTGAAATTAGTTCCCCTTTCCAAAACCAATGTGACGACGTGTCTTTAATTACTGCATAAAAATTCTGTGAAATATGATGTGGCTGTATGATATGCAATATGTGTCAATTACTGCAGTTTTGTTTAATTGCTCTTGCCTTATGCTGATAAAATAAGGTGTCTTGACAAGTTTATTTAATTTCACATTCAGTTAAATACTTGCAAGTATAATTTTACCCTAAAATATTAACTAATAAGTCATTTGAAATGGGAGTATAATTTTACCCTAAAATATTAATGAACAAGTCATTTGAATGGGACTATGGATGGAGAGACCATGGTTGTTGCGTGCAGTCTAAAGGTGTGTTGTGACTTTCACACTGTGTACAGGTGTTGGAAATGCCACCGCCTGTGTCCTGCATGAAGTCATCTACGTAACTGGAGGTCACTATGGGTACAGGGGAAGCTGCACCTATGATAAAATCCAGAGATACCATTCAGGTAGCAATGAGTGGAGTATAGTCACCACAAGTCCGCATCCAGGTAAACCGTAATTTCTGTAACAAGGGGAGAGCTTGATTTTATTACTTGTACCTGGGATTCTTTAAACCCACTTAAGAGTTTCTGGCCTGTTCCTAATAAAAGGAACAATCCCTGTAGGGCAGCAAGAGCCAGAGGGGGATTATCTTCCATTTCCAGGCTCTGAGAGGGGAAGGGAAGACTCTCTTCAACCATCTGTCCTACAGAAATCACTATATAAATATTGAACTAAGGAATGGCTGCATTCTGTTAAATAATACAGTAATCTAACTTTCTATAACATCTGTCTATACATAGGCACTTTGCAAAAATAATTTATATGAATTTTAGAAGGGTTTTTTCTATGTTCTACTTTTGATAACAGTAAATTTTTAGAGCAATTGTTGCTGAGTACAAGTAAGTTGTTGCTAAGTACAACAGTAGGTTGCTCGTGTCTGTAGCTTCTGTAATGCCTTGAGCTTGCTTTTACCAAGTGTATTAGAAAATCCCGAGGTGTCTCCTAAGCTCAGTGAAGAAATTCAGCCGCCCTCAGTGGTGCCCAGTGTTTGTCATGTAGCTGCAGTTTAAGTTAACGTTATCATGCTGAGTTGAACTGTGTTCCTTTCTTCCTGAAGAATACGGGTTGTGTTCAATTACACTACAAAACAAGATCTATTTTGTGGGTGGACAGACCACGATCACGGACTGCTATGACCCAGAGCAAAACGAGTGGAAACAGATGGCTCACATGATGGAGAGAAGGATGGAGTGTGGCGCGGTGGTTATGAACGGATGCATCTATGTAACAGGAGGATATTCCTATTCAAAAGGAACGTATCTGCAAAGTATTGAGAAATACAACCCTGAACTGAATAAATGGGAAGCAGTAGGTAATCTTCCCAGTGCTATGCGGTCGCATGGCTGTGTCTGTGTGTATAACGTGTAAACATTTGATTTTTGTATTGCTGCTACAGAAGATGGCAGGTGCAGCATTCAAAATAGCACTGATTACCTCATGCATGAGATGTGCACTAAGAGATTGTACTAGACATCATTAAAAACTAGGTATAATTTGTCTTCATTTTAAACAATTCAGAAATACATCTGTGGTAACAAGACTTCCATATATTTTTTCAGTCCAATCATTCTTTGTCCTGAAACTTTTTCAAATTACTCTTGTCTAATACTTTGTGCAGCTATATAGGAACTACTGTGAAAAACAGATTTGTTTCATCAATCACTGGGTGGAACTATCAACTGGTGCTAAGGTGCTAAAGCCAGAGAAAATATTCTGCATTTCTATGGACTAGTGGGCTTCAGATGAAGTCTTTGATACTCCAAAGGTATCTATAGAAGTGCTTCATTGCCACAAGCATATGATACGTACAGAGCAATATCACTTGGATAAGCAGGTTATCACATCCAGCAATCATGGGCAGTTAAAGGATGGCTCTAATTCTACCTCCAAATGCCAGCGCAGAGAAGAGCACAGGCTGGGAATGAGGGAAGAAATGTCACGCAGTAGCCCCAGAGCACAAGCTGAAAGTGTGCACTAGTTTTCCAGAAGACCAGTGCTCTGCAGTATGAGGCAGTTTGAGAACAAATTGCTCAGTTTGCCATTCTCGCACTGGCAGGGCCTGTGAGAAATAATTAAAAAAAACGCTTTTCTTGGCTTTGGCAGGTATTTGGCTGATGCCCTTGGGCTGATGCACAGGTATTGGTGATTTTTCTTTTTCAGGGAAAAGCCTTACCATGGTGACTTTTTTTTTTTTTTTTTTAAATCAAATTTAAGATGTATGTCTTTGTGAAATGGAAGGAGGAAATGAGAAAGACTGGAAAGTTGCTAACATCCCCCTGAGATACAAACTCTCTATTTTGTTAATAGCATTTGGTCTTTTTAGGATGCTGAACTATGACTTGAGCAAAGGTACAACTGAAGAAGCTTGTCAAAATACGTTACACATGGAGAAATTGGATGCTAAGTGGCCCACTGAATTTATTTATTATTTCTCACAAAAAATAATACAAGATCTTCAAATTCAGTCTAGAAAGCAACTTGAGATGGGCAGGAAGGTCATCGTTCTGTCACTTCTTCACTGGAAGACGCCTGTGGCAGGCTCCCAGAGCAGCTTGGCAGTGCCAGGCTGGCCGGCAGAAAGCAGAATCCATAGGTAGTATTTAAATATCTGGTGTTTTAACCCTGCCATCCCCAGCCTTCTCACCACTCCTTGTTTTGCATCCCGCCTTCTGGGTAGTAACACAAATGCATTTAACTGAATCTTTATTGCAGTGACTTCTAAGGATTTGTTTTCACCTGGTGGCTTGTACAGATAGTGTAATGTGTGGCTTTTATTAGCCTGGTTCCCTGAGGGAGCAAGGTGCAACTGTGGTGTCTTTCTGTGCATGTGTCAGCTCCCCTCTAATGCTGGAGACTTTCTTGTCTGGGTTCAGCCATGTTCTGCACTGAGGTACAGGTCTTAAAAATACACCTTTTTTCCCCCCAGGTTTTATGAAAATTAGGAACAGGATAGGGGGGGGGAGAGAGAGACTGAAAGGAGTTGCATGGGAAGTCCAAGATGGCAAAGCCTTCCCAGGGCCAAGGGGTGGCTGTGAGGAGCATTCCCCTTCCTTCCTGCCTTTGCTGCCCCTCACCCCGTCCCGCTTCAGCCGCTGTGGGGCCGCACGCTCTGAGGGTGGTGATCCAAATAAAGAAATGCCGTGAGGAGCACGGGGCTCTTCTCGCCCGGATCAGTTCCTCAGCCCAGCTTGTAAAATGCCAGAAGAAGCAGCTGTTAGACATTGGCATGAGAGGCAGGGACAACACAGGGCTGCCACAGGGTGTGGTGGCAACTTCCTACACCAGCACTACCCCCAAAACTGAAATTTTGGTTGTATTGAATCTATTAGATGTGATGGAAGCAGCTTTCCAAGCATAATACTGAGAATATTTCTTCTTCTGTTCAACACTTTTTTGTTCTCTCACACTTTTGTATTATGTCTCACTTGCATTTGACTGCTGGAAGCAGGCGGCACTCAACTCTGAGCTTTGATGTGAAGTTCTGTGGTGTATATATAGTTCTTGTTTTGATGTCTTTGTGTGTCATCTTACTATGACAGAAACTCGTGTGTGTGCGTGGGTTTGGTGTTTTACTTTGTTAGCCATCGTGCTGAGAGCTATTTAAGGATCGAATGGAATTTGTTTAAAGATTCTAAACGGTAAAGAGGTGTGGGGAATTCAACTCTGATGCTGTTTGAAATGTGTGGGCCGGGCAGGTGTGCAAAAGAAATAAAATTAATTTGTTTCTCCTGAAAATCTCTGCAGCTGAGAACTGTCCAAGGGCAGGTGGAGATTTAAGGGACAACATCACAAAAGCGTGAAGGTGATTTTTGTACTGAAGGAAACTGCAGTGAACTCAATATGTGTATGTAATTGTTCAGTGTAAAATATGTACCTGTGAAGCTTCATGTTTATTGATAAACACGGACAGAGAACAGCTGCTGGTGGCTGGCCCTAAGGTCCGTTCTGGTCCGTATCCTGTCACCTGCAGCGCTGTAAGAACAAGGCAATGCTAACGACCCCCCAGCACCCGCCTGTCTGCTGCGTCTGAAGGAGGTGCCCAGCCGTGGAAAGCCAGCGCTGTCCCGGGGTTGGAGCACAGGCACTGGAAGCTGGAGTCCGCTTTCTCCCTCTGGGCACCTTGCAGGGGAGCAATGGGCAGCTCCTTGGCCCCAGCGCTACTGCGGAGCGGGAAAAAGCCTTTGTTTCTGGGGTGCTGGGAAAGTATGTGCTGATCTGTGTAAACAGAAGTCAATGCTAACACTGCCTGGGGCTTCAGACAGGTCCCAATTTTTAAGAGTTTTGAATGTGTGAGAATAAATGGAGTGTAAAAATTTAAAGTGGTGCTATTTACAGTAACCTATGATGCCCTTTGAAGTTGGCTCAGGCAGGTAGCACTCCCCGAGAAAAGTGTCCAGTGGTCCTGAGCACAGGTGGGAGGGTGAATGCGGTGAGAGGAGCAGCGTGTGTCCCCCCCACCCCTGGTCAGCAGCGTGTGTCCCCGCAGCAGGAGGGGTGAGCCCAGGGCAGGGGATCGTTCAGCCACCCGTGTGGTGTGTGTTAGCCGTAAGGAGTTGAACGTGAACACTGAATGACCGTGCTGTTGGAGCTGTATTAGGGTGGGCGCCGTGTTACTCTGTCACTTGCAGACCAGAAAAGGAGCTAACACAGCGATCACGGCTGTTGGGTCGGTGCCCGTTAGTTGTTTCCCTACTCTGATCCCTGTTGTGGCGCTGCGGATGCGACAGCGCGGCTGTGGTACCGCAGCCGATGTTTGTACTGTGTAATAAATGTAACTATAGCATCCGTGTACCAACACAAGCTGTTCGGTTATTTTTCCCGCTAACGGCAGCGGCCTGGGAAGAGCGGCCCCGCACGCCCGGGCAGCGGCCCGCCGCGGGGCGAGGAACCTCGCCGCACCCGCCCGTCCCGGCGCTGCCCCTGCGCTCCCTGGCGCACCGAGCCCACCCCAACCGTACCCCCGCTTCTGCTTCCCAGACCCGCGCCGCGGAGCGCCGGGGTTGCGGGGAGCAGCGGCGGGGCCCGGTGCGGCGACACCCCCCGGTCCCGACAGGCCGAGGGGCTGGCACCAGCGGCCGCCCCGCCCCGGAAGCGGCGGCCACGTGAAAGGCGCGGAGGCTGCTGGGCCGCGCGGCGCCGACTGCGGCCTTTAAAGCATCGGAG